TTCAACCATTCAGCTGTCTGTGGTTCGGGGTCCTGAGCAGAGATGTCCCTACGGAGAAACCTAAAAATTGCTGATGGATCTGATCTCTATTAACTTGTCCTGTGGCTTTTGAACCTTGTTAAGCTTTTGCCCCTCTTAGTGCCGTGGTTGCGTGAGTTCAACTTACCTCTATGGTGAAAACAAACATCCTTTTGTTCCGCTTAAAACTGATGCGCGATAATTTCGTGTCATGCTCTCTTGTTCTTATTTGGAGAAGCAGCAGTTTCCCCCCTCACCTCCTCCACGCCGTCTATGATTTTATAAACCTCTCTCTCTACCCCCCATCAATTTACCGATTTAGGGAAGTTGCTCCATATTCCTGACCACCCCCATTGCTTTCCTCTGATTTCTCCAACTCAGTGATGTATTTGAAATTGTATTTGAAACGTGGAGTGTCTTAAAGAGCACCCTGTGTTCCTAGAGTAGAAGAATGACTTTTGTTTTACTCTTTTTCCCGTTCTAAAAATGGCTGGGTGTTTGCGTTCTGAGTAAGGTTTAGCACTGAGCTGGTGTTTGCACAGAACTTGCCACAATGACCGATTCCAGTGGTTTTTCTAAATGGTAATAAGGCATTTAGAGTCATTTTTGTGTGTGTCGTGATTGTCCGCTGGCCTGATTTACAGCAAGTTTGGGATCCAGCTGACTAAATGTGGCTGTCAGCGGTTTGGTTTTCTACGACTGAACTGGTTGTTTAGCAGATAGTTTGCTGGATGAGTCCGGATCGTAGGCAGCTTTTCTGGGAGGAGGTATGTCTCGTCTGGGCTCCATTAACGACGAAGGAAGTGCGGAGCATGAGATCGCGAGTGGACCTCTGAAGTTAGAGGAGGTAAAACTCTTCTCACTAATTTCACTTCTGGGCTGCTTATGTCCTTTCTTGGTGAGACCTTTTAGTCTCTGATGGAACTAGACTCTGTTTTTTATTGCAGTCAAGCATGGGCTTCAGAAGTTGCTCAGGTAGCATCCTGCAAGCCGTTGGGCTGCGACTGGTTACTCCCTTGAGTGGTGTCGTATCGTGCTGTGCCAGGCACTCCACGCCTGCTGGTGTGGGAACAGAATGAGCAGGTTTTTTCCCCCTAAAATGCTCATATTTCATGGGAAACTGTTTAACATGATCCCTTTCCTAAGCTGTTCTGGATTTTGAGAGTTACAGACAATAAAAAAATTACTATTTTTTAAGAATTGCTATAGCTCGTAGAGCGGATCGGTCTTGGTGGTGGAGCATGGCACGGATGTGTGCTTGCCAGGGGGGCTGGTGTGTGTTTTGGAGGTTCTCAGTTCTGTTCAAGGGTCTGCCTTTGGCTTCCTTTGTACCCTAACACCTTACCTCTGTACCGAGAACACTGAAGGTGCCTGACAGCATGCACGGGGCTCGGTACAATTTCTTAATAAGGTCACAGAAGTTCTCCTTACAGGGCTTCTCCTTTTTGTTGAGTTAGTGCAGATGTAATATCAGATATATCAACATAATTTATGAGTTGAACAAAACCCCACTGAGGATAGTGTGTTGAGGGAAATACAGAGCAACCATGAAAGCAAAGTAAATCAGAATTGAGATGAAATTTTCTCCATCACATCTGCTGATAGTCCCTGTCTTTGTGTGCTGAAGATTTTAAGCATGCATCGGTTCTGCTGCCACACGTGCTGTTGTCCCGAGTGTATCTGAGCATGTTGAAGGCACCTTTTAACCTTGTCCTTGGGTGGTAACTTCAGAGCGAATGTCAGAGGTGTTTGTACCACACTTCTGCTGTGGTTCATGAGCAGGGGATGGTTCAAGTGTCCTTGGGGCACTCATTTCACACAGCTTCCAAGCCTGTGGTGAAGCTGTTTTACCAGCCCCTTCTAGCGACGAGGACCACTGAAATTTTGTCTTCATGTATCATAGAATCACAGAATGGTTTGGGCTGGAAGGGACCTTAAAGACCATCCAGTGCCACCCCCTGCCCTGGGCAGGGACACCTCCCACCAGCCCAGGTTGCTCCAAGCCCCGTCCAACCTGGCCTTGACCACCTCCAGGGATGGGGCAGCCACAGCTTCTCGGGGCAACCTGCCCCAGGGGCTCAACCACCCTCACAGGAAGGAATTTCTTCCTCAGATCTCATCTCAATCTCCCCTCTTCCAGTTTGAAGCCATTCCCCCTCATCCCATCACTCCATGCCCTGTAAAAAGTCCCCCCCCCAGCTCTCCTGGAGCCCCTTTAGGCACTGGAAGGGGCTCTGAAGTTGCTGAGCATCATTTATTTTTCTTGATCTATGAAGTGCTTTAGGTGAAAATGATGGGGCTTTCTGAAGGTCTTGTAGGAGTGAGGATCAAACGTCATTCACGTACCCTCCACTGAGTGCATTGGCTCTTTATCCTTGCATGCAAGATCGTACAGGATTGCTCGGATTTAGCTCAAACTTGTAAAATGATAAGCTGTTTTCCTGGCCTTGCTACACGATCACCATCTAAAAGGAAACAAATAACGTCCAGTTGTAAAGCTGTGGACACGCAGAGCGTAGCGGAAGCAGCAGCCTACGGAATAGTTGTATTTATGCTTTCTGCGGACGTTGTGTGCCCTTCTCAAGGCTCCCTACAGACACTGTTAGACACTCGCACCTTTCTCCGCGTGCTGTGTGCCACCAGCGGGTGAGTCTCCTCTAGTACTTAAGCATTCCCCACTCCCACTGCAGCTTCCAACATGGCATTTCTGGCGTCAGTGCAGGAATTGGCTGCTTTTCCCCGTTCCGTTGCCTGCGAGGTCTCTGAGGATTCCCCCTATGAAGAGGGGACCGAGCTGGTGCCCGCGGGGATGCAGGCAGTGGTGAGCACGCAGAAGGCTCAGCGCGGCGGTTCCCTGAGAAAGCCTTCGCATGCGGCCCTCGGCCGGGGCTGTGCTCTGCTTTCCACCCGCCGGACATTGCTTCCTTCTGCTGGCTTAGGCTAAAACCAAACTTGACGCGAGCGCTTGAGTTCGTTACCAGTTCTGGTCTGCTGTTGCCTCGTCCGTCCCCCCAGGCTGGGCTGTAATCTCTTCAAACACAACAAGTCGGTGAATGCGATGGCACTTGGAAAAAGAAACAAATGCAGCAGAGACGCATCACCTTCAGCAAAGGTGCCTGAAGTTGAAATCAGTTTTCATCCTTTGTTGAAGGAATGAAGAGTACTTAGGAAATTAATTCTGGCTGCTTGGCGGGGGTAGTTTTTAGGGTTTTGTTTGTTTTGTGTTTTTTTTAATAGTGATGAACAGAGTTTTGTGTCGCATTTTGTGTCTGGGAGCAGTGACTGACACGCTGGAAGGCTGTGCTGCCATACAGCGTGACCTGACCAGGCTGGAGAGTTGGAACCTCATGAAGTTCAACAAGGACAAGTGTAGGGTACTGCATCTGGGGAGGAATAACCCCACGCACCAGTACAGGGGGCTGACCTGCTGGAGAGCAGCGCTGCAGAGAGGGACCTGGGAGTGCTGGTGGCCAACAGGGTGACCATGAGGCAGCAATGTGCCCCGGTGGCCAAGAAGGCCAAAGGCATCCTGGGGGGCATCAAGCAGAGTGTGGCCAGCAGGTGGAGGGAGGTCATCCTCCCCCTCTGCTCTGCCCTGGGGAGGCCACATCTGGAGCACTGTGTCCAGTTCGGGGCTCCCCGGGTCAGGAAGGACAGGGAACTGCTGGAGAGGGTCCAGCAAAGGGCTACGGAGGTGAG